GATGCTAATTAGCATTTTCAAATCTGAGAGTAAATAGAGCCGAATATATTGATAAAAGTCACCTTGTCCGAGAGAGATTTACATGGTTATCAACACGTCACGCCAGGGTAAGCCTACACGGAACACAACCCTTATTTTAAGTGTTTCTAGAATCCCCTATGGGAATAATTAATGGTGGGAAAACGATTGGAACCATTCCCCTGTTTGACCACTAGGTTTTAAGGGTATTATGACACCTCCACTGTGGGACTCTATAGGGCCATAAGATAACAAGAAAATGCTCACCCAGAGGCGGCGCTCCTAAAAAAATAAAAGAATAATAATATGCCATTTAGCAGACGCTTTTATCCAAAGCGACTTACTTATTTATTTTTTTTACAATTATTTTTGTGTATGGGTGGTCCCGGGGATCAAACCCACTACCTTGGCGTTACAAGCGCCGTGCTTTTTAATGAGGTAAAACTGAAATCTGTTTTACCTCATTTCTACCAACATGTCACCTCTGCAACTAAGGCGAAAAATCATCTTTACTCCACATACAGAGACACATACAAAGCTCTCCCTCAGTCCCCCGCCCTAAATTTGGCAAATCTGACCATAACTTTATCCTCCTGATTCCTGCTTACAAGCAAAAACTTAAACAGGAAGTACCAGTGACATGCTCAATACGGAAATGGATGTTAAAGGAAAAATACATCCAAAACCACTAATTCCTATAAATGTACAGTGCTACATAACACTAATATGTAACAACAATATTTTTTGTGAACAAATGTTTCATTTTGTCGTCATAATAAGGTTGGTAGCAACGTGTTAAAAATAATTGTGGAAATCTGTTTGTCAATGCTGAGGTGTATGCGGCGGTGAAGTCAGGCGCAGGACACAGAGGATCAGTAACGACTACTTTACTTTCCAAAGTAAAATACGCACAAAACAAACACCTCCAAACACAAGAGGAGAAATGTACGCGGAGTGCGTAATAAACAAGATGGTCAATGCCGAACATACATACAAGAGACGCGGACAATAACACACAAAGGCAAACATAAAACAAGGGAACTTATATGGTACATAATCAATACAGAATACGAAACAGGTGTACCAACTAGACAATACAAGACAAACATCGAAACATCGAGCGGCAGTAGCTAGTACTCCGGGGACGACGAACGCCGAAGCCTGCCCAAGCAAGGAGGAGGAGCAGCCTCGGCGGCATCCGTGACACTGTTGCTGCTCAAGTCGACTACAAAACCCACAACGCAATGCTCTCTCTATGGGCTGGCTGGCTAGCTAGCTAGTTAGGTAGCTACACACAATAATACCAAAGTCGATTACAAAGGGAAACCCAGCCGCGAGCTGTCTTGTGACGAGAACCTACCAGATTAGTTAAATACCTTCTATGCTTGCTTGAAGCCTAGCAACACTGAACCGTGCATGACAGCACCAGCTATTCCGGACGACTGTGTGATCACGCTCTCCGTAGCCAATGTGAGTAAGACCTTTTAAACAGGTTAATATTCACAAGGACGCAGGACAAGATGGATTACTAGGACACGTACTCAAGAGCATGCGCTGACAAGTGTCTTCACTGACATTTTTTACCTCTCCCTGACCCAGTCTGTAATACCTACATGTTTCAAGCAGACCACCATAGTCCCTGTGCCCATCGTCCCGTAGCACTCGCATCTGTAGCCATGAAATGCTTTGAATGGCTGGTCATAGCTCACATCAACACCATCATCCCAGACACCCTGGACCCACTCCAATTCGCATACCGCCCCAATAGAGCCACAGATGATGCAATCTCTATTGCACTCCACACTGCCGTTTCCTACCTGGACAAAAGGAACACCTACAGTGGGGGAAAAAAGTATTTAGTCAGCCACCAATTGTGCAAGTTCTCCCACTTAAAAAGATGAGAGAGGCCTGTAATTTTCATCATAGGTACACGTCAACTATGACAGACAAATTGAGAGAAAAAAAATCCAGAAAATCACGTTAGGATTTTTAATGAATTTATTTGCAAATTATGGTGGAAAATAAGTATTTGGTCACCTACAAACAAGCAAGATTTCTGGCTCTCACAGACCTGTAACTTCTTCTTTAAGAGGCTCCTCTGTCCTCCACTCGTTACCTGTATTAATGGCACCTGTTTGAACTTGTTATCAGTATAAAAGACACCTGTCCACAACCTCAAACAGTCACACTCCAAACTCCACTATGGCCAAGACCAAAGAGCTGTCAAAGGACACCAGAAACAAAATTGTAGACCTGCACCAGGCTGGGAAGACTGAATCTGCAATAGGTACGCAGCTTGGTTTGAAGAAATCAACTGTGGGAGCAATTATTAGGAAATGGAAGACATACAAGACCACTGATAATCTCCCTCGATCTGGGGCTCCACGCAAGATTTCACCCCGTGGGGTCAAAATGATCACAAGAACGGTGAGCAAAAATCCCAGAACCACACGGGGGGACCTAGTGAATGACCTGCAGAGAGCTGGGACCAAAGTAACAAAGCCTACCATCAGTAACACACTACGCCGCCAGGGACTCAAATCCTGCAGTGCCAGACGTGTCACCCTGCTTAAGCCAGTACATGTCCAGGCCCATCTGAAGTTTGCTAGAGTGCATTTGGATGATCCAGAAGAGGATTGGGAGAATGTCAGATTAAACCAAAATAGAACTTTTTGGTAAAAACTCAACTCGTCGTGTTTGGAGGACAAAGAATGCTGAGTTGCATCCAAAGAACACCATACCTACTGTGAAGCATGGGGGTGGAAACATCATGCTTTGGGGCTGTTTTTCTGCAAAGGGACCAGGACGACTGATCCGTGTAAAGGAAAGAATGAATGGGGCCATGTATCGTGAGATTTTGAGTGAAAACCTCCTTCCATCAGCAAGGGCATTGAAGATGAAACGTGGCTGGGTCTTTCAGCATGACAATGATCCCAAACACACCGCCCGGGCAACGAAGGAGTGGCTTCGTAAGAAGCATTTCAAGGTCCTGGAGTGGCCTAGCCAGTCTCCAGATCTCAACCCCATAGAAAATATTTGGAGGAAGTTGAAAGTCTGTGTTGCCCAGCGACAGCTCCAAAACATCACTGCTCTAGAGGAGATCTGCATGGAGGAATGGGCCAAAATACCAGCAACAGTGTGTGAAAACCTTGTGAAGACTTACAGAAAACGTTTGACCTGTGTCATTGCCAACAAAGGGTATATAACAAAGTATTGAGAAACTTTTGTTATTGACCAAATACTTATTTTCCACCATAATTTGCAAATAAATTCATAAAAAATCCTACAATGTGATTTTCTGGAGAAAAAAATTCTCATTTTGTCTGTCATAGTTGACGTGTACTTATGATGAAAATTACAGGCCTCTCATCTTTTTAAGTGGGAGAACTTGCACAATTGGTGGCTGATTAAATACTTTTTTCCCCCACTGTATGTGAGAATGCTGTTAATTGACTACAGCTCAGCGTTCAACACCATAGTGCCCTCCAAGCTCATCACTAAGCTAAGGACCCTGGGATTAAACACCTCCCTCTGCAACGTGATCCTGGACTTCTTGACAGGCCGCCCCCAGGTGGTGAGAGTAAGCAACAACACATCCACCACACTGACCCTCAACACGGGGGCCCCTCAGGGGTGCGTGCTCAGTCCCTCCTGTACTCCCTGTTCACCCACGACTGTGTGACCGGGCACGACTCCAACACCATCATTCATTTTGCAGATGACACGACGGTGGTAGGCCTGATCCCTGACAACAATGAGACAGCCTACAGGGAGGAGGTCAGAAACCTGGCAGTGTAGTGCCAGTTGTTGTCAGCAAGACAAAGGCACTGATCATGGACTACAGGAGGGCAGAGCACGCCCCCATCCACATCGACAGGGCTGTAGTGGAGCAGATCGAGAGAGTTCCTCAGTGTCCACATCACTAAGGAATTATCATGGACCACACACACCAACGCCTCCTTCTCCTCAGGAGGCTGAACATATTTGGCGTGGGCCCTCAGATCCTCAAAAAGTTCTACAGCTGCACCATTGAGAGCATCTTGACTGGCTGCATCACCGCTTGGTATGGCAACTGCTTGGCATCTTACCGCAATGCGCTACAGAGGGTAGTGTGTACGGCCCAGTACATCACTGGGGCCAAGCTCCCTGCCATCCAGGACCTCTGTAACAGGCGGTGTCAGAGGAAGGCCCTAAAAAGTTTAAAAGAGTCCAGCCACCCAAATCATAGACTGTTCTCTCTGCTACCGCAAGGCAAGCGGTACTAATGCACCAAGTCTGGAACCAACAGGACCCTAAACTGCTTCTACCCCCAAGCCATAAGACTGCTAAATAGTTAGTCCAGGTAGCTGTTGGTTAACTATTTAACTATCTGCCTTAACCCTTTTTGCACTCACTCTAATGACCCATCACATTTACATTTACATTTTTAAGTCATTTAGCAGACGCTCTTATCCAGAGCGACTTACAGTTAGTACACTGCTGTTACTCTGTTATCTATTTGGTTGCCTAGTCATTTTATCGCTACCGATATGTACAAATCTACCTCAATTACTTCGCACCCCTGCACATCGACTCGGTACTGGTACCCCGTTATGAAGCCAAGTTATCGTTACTCATTGTGTATTTATTCCTCGTGTTATTATTTTTCTATTATTTCTCTTTTTTGTCTCTACATTGTTGGGAAGGGCCCATAAGCACTGTTAGTCTACACCTGTTGTTTACGAAGCATGTGACAAATAACATTTTATAACATTTGAAATAACACTTTCAATCAACATTTTGTCAGATCTAGAGGCTATACAGACCTATAGGCTAAACTTTAAAATGCCTATACAGATATTTTGCCTTTATGGGTGCTCTAGTGCTAAAAGGGGTCTCCTTGGCCTAGAGCCGAAAGTCCCTTAAATGGACAGAATTTTTTTCCAGATATGTCCTCATTGGACAGGTAGGGCCACGCCTTCCCACAACCATGAGCAAAGGCATAACTAAACTTCCAGAGTGTAGCCTATCCTTAAATCGTCAGCTGCCAACCTAATAAGATCACTAATTTACCCCATCTTTTTCCTAGGTATGTTGGTAACCTGTCCAGAGATGTAACAGAAATTTTGATTCTTCAGCTGTTCACCCAAATTGGACCTTGCAAAAGTTGTAAAATGATAACTGAGGTAAGATGTATTCTGCTCTATTAGCTATGATGACTTATGGAGACAATTAGTTTCATTAATGGATTATGTACTAGGTCTAGGAATTCACGTCAGTATACAGTGTAGCTACTACTGTTAACCTTTGACTGTAACAACTGTCATTAGCTAGGTTTCCATCCAACTGGTGACAGATTTTCATGCAAATATTCAAAAATCTGCATAAAGAAAATATGCGCATTTTCCCACCAGTGGTGTGTTTCCACCAAATGGGCTTGTTGATTATTATGGATAAGAGTGAGAATTATTTTTATTTGTCAAATGGCAGTCAAGCATCGATCATTGTGTCACCAGAATAAGACCCACGATATTTATTGGAAAGGAGCATCAAGCTCATCACCGTACACTTTCACCACCCTGTGAAGTTCATCATAATTTATTTCATCTGTAGCCTAATAAACTGCATGGTTTCCTGAGTCGTAGAGGGAGGACCACGGACCATATCATCACGTGACTCCCAAGTTTACGTTGAAATTATGGTTATTATATCAATATTTGCGCATAAAGGCGTTTCTACGGTATGACTTTACTCTCATAAATACTGTGGATGGAAACGTGTTTAATGGCACATACCAGTTTTTCACATAATTAAGTCCTTTTTTATGTCCCTATTGTTTTATCAATGTTGCCTTTGTTGGTCTTATTTCTCACTTAAAACTGATTACATTTGCATCATGTTGATAAACACACCATTACATTTACATAATTGCTTTGACACATCAAGGAGAGAAAAGGTCATTTGTAATTAGGCTAGGCCTACCCTTTTATAAAGCATTTAGCTTAGATCCTTGCAGAACCTAAAATGGATTTTTTATGCAGTTCTCTTCAAAATAATTTTAATCGTCACCCAAAAGGGATCAGATTCAGCACCTCCCCTAACTTGAGAGTAAACCTTTCTAATATCCTCCTCCTTGCAGTTACCGTAGTTACAGGGGGAGAAGGGTAAACATGGTCTACCATGGGATGCTGATGTAATGGCCTCTAGTGGACCTGTCCTCAAGTTTCTCGACATCTCCAGCGTAGCTGGGTGAGACAGTATAGGCTACCCTCCATATGAACTAGATGACAGTCTTTGATTTGATCTCTTTTTTTGTCCTGAATAGCTCGTTTAGTCAGATGTATCAGGGGATATTTACTAGTCTAAATGGGGTGTTTTCCGTTTTGGCTACTTTTCTCTCTCCTTTAGTAAATGTATGATTAGGCCTTTTTCAAATGCCTCAAAAATGGTAACTGATTCCTCTGCTATTATAGTGGGTTATATCTATATATTGTGCAATGAATGCAATCAGATCAAATTGCTTATTTTTTTAATGGATGAAACAGCCATTAGGTTAGCCTTTGGCGTTCCTGTCCAAAAGAGGAAAGTTAGGGTTATTGAATCCCAGCCTTTTAAACAATGGCCATTATTTTAATTGGCTAACATCTCCGTTACATATTGCAACACAATGTTGATGATACATGGTAATCCCCCCAATAGAGTAACATGGTCACTCAGTTCTTGCAATTGTATTCCAAATAACATTATATGTTTGGCAATAATATACTCTCCCAACTTGGCAATAATATACTCTCCCAACTTGGCAATAATATACTCTCCCAACTTTTTTTTCTCAGCAACCCGATAGCAGGAGGATGAACTCTTCTGTCGGATTTTCTGTTTTGCAGCAATCAAGCAATGACCCGTATTGCTTTGTGGAGTTCTTTGAACATAGAGATGCTGCTGCTGCCCTAGCAGCCATGAACGGGAGGAAGATATTGGGAAAGGTAATTTTTCCACTCTGAAATGTAGGACTGTGTGTGTGTGAGGCGGTTTTCTTGCTAAGAAGTGCTGGTTCTAACTAGGGTTGAATGGCGGGAACCCGGTTACCGAGATTTACCGGGATTTACCGCCCAAAACCACTCCCTTTTCCCGGGATAAATAACTGCGAGAAACCGGTAAATTATAATAAATTATTTATATGAACAGCATGACGTGAAATGGAACTGTTAAATTACATGCGATGTCTAAATCTGGCTTCTCTACGGCTTCTGTATGATGAATCAACACTCAGGGTGGGGACAGACAGCCCATCTCAGTATGGAGCGCAGTTCACAATGCATGTAGACCTATCATCTCATCATGGTAACTTTTTTTCTTGTGACAGGTTGGCCTACATTTGCTGCAGCATAGCCTATGCTACAGTAATATAAAGACAGAGTTAGCGTCTAATTTACCCATCACCATCTGGCTTTCGGGGGTCACCTTGTTTTTTTAATTGTAAAGATAAAAAACATTTTTTTATTGCAGTTGAAGAGTTTTAAAACAGCCTATCATTTGAATATCAGTGCATGCGCGAGCACTCTCTCGCAGTCTCTCTCTCTCTCCATCAACTCCATTCAAATTGCATCCAAAATAGATAATCCTGTTCTAGATTCATATATAGCCCTATATATAGATGTCCTAGCCTACCTCTTTCAGGTAATACATTCAATGCAGTATTAGCCTTATATTTAGCTAATTAATGGTGGGTTATGCATAATAAGCTTCTAACCTCTGTCTCTTGTGCAATATGCAAGCACCTGTGCTCCGCTGGCCTCTCCTTAAAAAACGCTCCTTAGCTCTTGTAGTCCCATGCAGGAAAAGCTAGACTAGAATAGCTTGCTGAACATTTTTTTTTTAGCATTTCTTATACCAATAGACTATTCAAAGATGGACGCAAGCTCTTTTTTGCTGAATGTTAAATACAGCAGCCAATAGAATTCACGGGTAGTTTGAAAGAAGAGTGAATGCGCGATGGCGGTAGGCTATAGCAGTTATTTATTCAGACCCATAACCATTCAATCTTTGTGAAGAGAAGGGAAAGCCTTCTGCATCTAATTCTAGTCCTATATTATTAAAGGATGTCATTAGAATGATTAAGATAAGGACCACAACTTATTTCATTTAACTTTTGAACGTGAGGAAGGAATGAAGCAACAATAGAGAGAGAAAGAGGAGGTAGGCTAATAACATTAGGGGAAATATTATGAAAGGGGTCGGAAAGTATTCAGACCCCTTGACTTTTTCCACATTTTGTTACGTTACAACCTTATTCTAAAATTGATTAAATAAAACAATTTCCTCAGCAATCTACACACAATACCCCATATTGACAAAGCGAAAACAGGTTTTTAGAAATTTTTGCAAATGTATTAAAATAAAAAACGGATACCTTATTTACAGAAGTATTCAGACCCTTTGCTATGAGACTCGAAATTGAGCTCAGGTGCATCCTTGAAATGTTTCTACAACTTGATTGGAGTCCACCTGTGGTAAATTCAATTGATTGGACAAGATTTGGAAATGCAAACACCTGTCTAAATAAGGTCCCACAGTTGACAGTGCATGTCAGAGCAGAAACCAAGCCATGAGGTCGAAGGAATTGTCCGTAGAGCTCCGAGACAGGTTTGTGTCGAGGCACAGATCTGGGGAAGGGTACCAAAAAATGTATGCAGCATTGAAGGTCCCCAAGAACATAGTGGCCTCCATCATACTTAAATGGAAGAAGTTTGGAACTCCACCAATCAGGCCTTTATAGTAGAGTGGCCAGATGGAAGCCACTCCTCAGTAAAAGGCACATGACAGCCCGCTTGGAGTTTGCCAAAAGGCACCTAAAGACTCTCAGACCATGAGAAACAAGATTCTCTGGTCTGATGAAACCAAGATTGAACTCTTAGGCTTGAATGCCAAGCGTAACGTTTGGAGGAAACCTGGCACCATCCCTACGGTGAAGCATGGTGGTGGCAGAATCATGCTCTGGGGATGTTTTTCAGCGGCAGGGACTGGGAGACTAGTCAGGATCGAGGCAAAGATGAACGAAGCAAAGTACAGAGAGATCCTTGATGAAAACCTTGCTCCAGAGCACTCAGGACCTCAGACTGGGGCAAAGGTTAACCTTCCAACAGGACAACAACCCTAAGCACACAGCCAAGACAACGCAGGAGTGGCTTCGGGACAAGTCTCTGAATGTCCTTGAGTGGCCCAGCCAGAGCCCGGACTTGAACCCGATTTGAACATCTCTGGAGAGACTTGAAAATAGCTTTGCAGCAACGCTCCCCATCCAACCTGACAGAGCTTGAGAGGTTATGCAGAACGGAATGGGAGAAACTCTCCAAATACAGGTGTGCCAAGCTTGTAGCGTCATACCCAAGAAGACTCAAGGCTGTAATCGCTGCCAAAGGTGCTTTAACAAAGTACTGAGTAAAGAGTCTGAATACTTATGTAAATGTAATATTTCAGTTTTTTATGAATTTGCAAACATTTCTAAAAACCAGTTTTTGCTTTGTCATTATGGGGTATTGTGTGTCGATTTGGTGAGGCAAAAAAACTATTTAATATATTTTAGAATAAGGCTGTAACGTAACAAAATGTCAAAAAGGTCAAGGGGTCTGAATATGCGTCAGCCTACTAATTATACTAATAGGCCCTGTTATATTAAACAAGTAAAACCAAATTCGCTAGCCTATACTTATGCTGCACCAGAATCGCATGTTCTCTTCTGCTTCATGGTTTGAACGAGATGCGTAGTTCCAGTCCATATAATACAGAATAATACAATACAGTACAGTAATACAGTTCACACTCAAAAAGATTAGCCTACCGGAGCTAGTTTAATATATTTACCCAAGAGAGCATATAGCTAGCGACATCTGTGGGCTTTTATGTTTTTCTGTTGTGCGTAATGTGTTGTAGCCTATATCATGTATGTATTGGATAACGGCACAATCAATCATTTGGGCATTTTTGGGCTTGGGCTCATTAAATGTTGTTAATGTAAGGATCATAAAATTGATTTAATATATGGCTCATCAGGCTCAGGTAGCATCAGGTTTGACTTTTCATGCTGATCAAAGCTCTAATCAAATCCAGACATTTATATGCCTTAAAATGCTTTTGAATTACACTTCCGGTTTTGGCGGGAAGTACCGGGTTACCCGGGAGAAAAGTGATTTATTCTCGAGATGGAACATTTGTAAAATACCGGGAAAATATTCAACTCTAGTTCTAACCCTTTCACAGTGGCTTTTATGACATGGAATGAATGTCTTTGCTCCACTTACGTTTGATTGTTCTGTGAAATGTTTTATCTTCAGGAGGTCAAAGTAAATTGGGCCACCACTCCAAGTAGCCAGAAGAAAGACACATCTAGTAAGTGTTTACATTTGAACTTTTTCCTCTTTTACTACAAAGGCAGTAAAAAAAAAAATACAAACAATTTTAAAGGCACTCGCACATCTGAGCTATCTTTGGGGTTTTTCACAGTAAAAAAAGAAATAAAATATGTTTTATTGTCGCATACACTGGAAAGGTGCAGTGAAATTTAGTAGTACAGCGCCCCTGGAGAAAATTCAGGTTAAATGCCTTGCATAAGATTACATCAACAGATTTTTCAGCTTGTCGGCTCGGGTATTCGAACCAGCGACCTTTCGGTTACTGGCCCATCAATCTAACCGATGGGATACCTGCCACCCAGTAGCTACATCAGAGAATAATAGTGATTCTGTCTTGGTCATTTCAGATCACTTCCATGTATTTGTTGGAGACCTGAGCCCTGAGATCACCACTGAGGATATCAAAGCGGCATTTGCACCTTTTGGGAAAATCTCGTAAGTTGCTTTGTGTTTTAAGCTTGTTGGATTTAGTATGTTGTTTCCTGACTTGACATCCTCTGGAAATGGTTTTACTCTATTTTATCTGATCATTCGAGTAACTTTCGAGTTCTTCTCATAATAAATGTGTTTGTAAGAGGTCCATAAACAGAATAGATGTGTAAGCACATACAGCATATACAGTGCATTTGGAAAGTATTCAGACCCCTTGACTTTTTCCACATTTTGTTACAACCTTATTCTAAAATTGATTAAATTGTTTTTTTTCCCCTCATCAATCTACACACAATACCCCATAATGACAAAGCAAACATTTATTTAAATTGTTGCTAATTTATAAATAAATAAAAACTGAAGTATCACATTTACATAAGTATTCAGACCCTTTACTCAGTACTCTGTTGAAGCACCTTTGGCAGCGATTACAGCCTCAAGTCTTCTTGGGTATGACGCTACATGCTTGGCACAACTGTATTTGGGGAGTTTCTCGCATTCTTCTCTGCAGATCCTTTCAAGCTCTGTTAGGTTGGATGGGGAGCCTTGCTGCACAGCTATTTTCAGGTCTCTCCAGAGATGTTCGATCGCGTTAAAGTCTGGGCTCTGGCTGGGCCACTCAAGGACATTCAGAGACTTGTCCCGAAGCCACTCCTGCGTTGTCTTGGCTGTGTGCTTAGCGTCGTTGTCATGTTGGAAGGTGAACCTTCACCCCGGTCTGAGGTCCTGAGTGCTCTGGAGCAGGTTTTCATCAAGGATCTCTCTGTACTTTGCTTCGTTCATCTTTCCCTCGATCCTGACTAGTCTCCCAGTCCCTGCTGCTGAAAAACATCCCCACATCATGATGCTGCCACCACCGTAATTCACTGTAGGGATGGTGCCAGGTTTCCTCCAGACATGACGCTTGGCATTCAGGCCAAAGAGTTCAATCTTGGTTTCATCAGACCAGAGAATCTTGTTTCTCATGGTCTGAGAGTCTTTAGGTGCCTTTTGGCAAACTCCAAGTGGGCTGTCATGTGCCTTCTACTGAGGAGTGGCTTCCGTCTGGCTACTCTTCCATAAAGGCCTGATTGGTGGAGTGCTGCAGAGATGGTTGTCCTTCTGGAAGGTTCTCCCATCTCCACAGAGGAACTCTGGAGCTCTGTCAGAGTGACCATCGGGTTCAAGTTCACCTCCCTGACCAAGGCCCTTCTCCTCCGATTGCTCAGGTTGGCCGGGCGGCCAGCTCTAGGAAGAGTCTTGGTGGTTCCAACCTTCTTCCATTTAAAAATGATGGAGGCCAAAGGGTTCTTGGGGACCTTCAATGCTGCAGAAATGTTTTGGTACCCTTCCCCAGATCTGTGCCTCGACACAATCCTGTCTCGGAGCTCTACGGACAATTCCTTCATCCTCATGGGTTGGGTTTTGCTCTGACATGCACTGTCAACTGTGGGACCTTATATAGACAGGTGTGTGCCTTTCCAAATCATTTCCAATCAATTGAATGTACCACAGGTGGACTCCAATCAAGATGTAGGAACATCTCAAGGATGATCAATGGAAAAAGGATGGACCAGAGCTCAATTTCGATTCTCAGACGAATACTTATGTAAATAAGGTATTTCTTGTTTTGTTTTTGCAAAAAAAAATTGAAACTTGTTTTTGCTTTGTCATTATGAGGTATTGTGTGTAGGTTGATGAGGACATATTTTTCTTTAATCCGTTTTAGAATAAGGCTGTAACATAACAACATTTGGGAAAAAGTCAAGGGGTCTGAATACTTTCTGAATGCGCTGTATACTGTAGATGTAATTACTTTGACTATTGGTTGAAATTACATTTTAAAGCACATCACACCCAGTCTCGTTACATAAATCACTCTCCCTGTTTTGATCCTTTGTGAAAAACAGGATGACAGAACAAGTGACAAAGTATTTTCAATTGTAACATATAGATATTGACTTTGTCTGTATCAAAACCCCCACACTAATTTCACAACACCAACTATTTTCACTGCCAACATTGAATGTGTAGCTTTCTATTTTCCCCTCATGCTTTTTTGATAAATGTAGGAAATGGTAAGTAGTTTGGGATGTCAAATTTAAGATGGCAGTTCAAGCTTTGTATGTGTAACCCTGAAAAGCTTTCAGCCTTTCTGTAATTGTGAGTCTCAGTTAAGTAATAGCGTTCTGGTTATTTTACAGAAATGCTCATAGGATTGGACAGGAGCTTGAAGTCTTACAGCAAGGAAGTGTGCACACTGGAAACTCAGATGTAGACCTTTTCTCATACCTATTTATTCTATTTGTTTGTTTTTGTATTTTTTGTATTAACATGACCTAGTTTAGTATAACAAACTCCAATATTCAATACAAATACTTAAGATCTGTGTAAAACTGATTCTGGTTTGTTAGTATTGTTGATAGTTTTATGCTCCTTTCCTAAAAATCTGAAAATGTAAATGTTTTCAAATTTGCAGCTCCCCAACTCCATATTGGTGGTAAAGAATTTACCAGGAAAAATAAAGAAATCTGTTAACAGGCCATGTATGCCATTTAATTCCTGTTTTTCTCTTTGATATTTATATATATTTATATTAGTAGGATGAGCACCATCAGCAGATATTAGGAATGCATGGTAATCCATAAGAAGTGTTGCAGATTATAATTGGTGCACTGTGACAGGGAACCCTTAACTGAAAATGAAACAGTTAAAATATCAGTGTAGGTTGCATTTCTTTGTACTTGTTTTTGTTTTCAAATGCTGCTTTTTATCAGTAATCAGTTTAGGATTTTTAAGGTAGTTAAAGGTGCTTGAATTTTTGTAATGCAATTTCAGAAAATATCCATAATATATCTGCCGTTAATAGTGGAGTGATATGTTTCACAGTATTACCGACCCACCAGTGTTGTGATTGGCTGTGATATTCACCTATTGATTTCTCCCGCCAGAGTGACATCTGTTGTCAAAATGGGAAAGCTGTTCTGACTTTGTGGCTGTGTTGTCTAGTGGAAATTGCTGTGTCATTTACTGGTTGCAAAATTTCTACACTGTTCGCTAAATTTCAGTTTAAGTGAGAAAACTAGCACTGAATAGTGCAGGTAATCATTGTACCATCTAAATCGCTGTGTATTTATTGTTTTTTTTCTCGCTGTTTGAAGCTGGTGGACCAAAACCAAAACGGTTACAGCTTCAAACAGCTGTAAAAACGGTATTTCTTGTTATTTAAAATATATTTCACACCGATTTAGATGGTACAATGATTCCCTACACTATTCAGTGCTTGTTTTCTCACATAAACTGAAATTGAGCGAACAGTGTAGAACTTTAGCAACCAGGAGATGACACAGCGAGTTCCACTAGATGCTACAGCCACAAAGTCCGAACAGCTTTCCCATTTTGACAACAGATGCTGCTCCGGTGGGAGAAATCAATGGACTGATATCACAGCCAATCACAACACTGGCAGGTATGTAATACTGTGAAACACTATCATTCCACTATTAATGCAGCTATATTATGGACCTTTTCTGAAATTACAATGCAAAAATTTAAACAAATTCTATGTGTAGCACCTTTTAAGATATTTATTGGGATTTTGTGTGACAATGTAGTCGATTCGCAGTTCAGTGTGTGTGTGTGTGGTTCCTTTTTTTAAATGTTATGCATGTAATACAGTGGTGCAGTGGTCTGATGCTATTGTCTTGTGTCCTTCCAGGGATGCTCGTGTTGTGAAGGACATGACTACAGGGAAATCTAAGGGGTATGGATTTGTGTCCTTCTATAACAAACTGGTAAGGCTCCAGTGCAGGAACACAAGATGAAGGTTATTTCTATTTCTGTTTACTATTTTCAGTAGATTTGATCTTTAGACAATTTAAACGTTTTATAAATAAGTACACTGTAAATGCACATTTCGTGTTCTCTGTTGATCATTTTGTAACTTAAGTACAAGTTGTAGTATATTTGATAGTTAATTATTCCTGTTGAATATTCGTATCCATCCATCTAGTATGCAAAACATGTTTAAAATGACATAAATAGCACATCGTTTATAGAATATGTATAGAACAATGTAGAATCTGGAGAGGAAACGTTGTCTTTTGTTTTAAACAGGATGCAGAGAATGCCATCGTGCACATGGGGGGACAATGGTTAGGGGGACGCCAGATCAGGACCAACTGGGCAACTCGCAAGCCACCCGCCCCAAAGAATGTGCAAGACAGTAAGTATGAGTGAGATATGACTGTGTTGATTTAACAGAGTTGAAATGGGAGTTATGCTCATATTCATCTCCTTTGTATGTTTACACCAGATGGCTCGAAGCAGCTGAGGTTTGAAGATGTAGTGAACCAATCCAGTCCCCAGAACTGCACCGTGTACTGTGGAGGAATCCAGTCAGGACTATCAGGCAAGTTCATTCAAACATGATAAGTTACACAGAGACTGTTTTAGAATCAATCGTTAGATGTTTCCAACAAATAAAGTTTTGGAAACAAAGACTGGGTTGGCAGACAAAGTTGGATGATTGTTTCATTGAAATCTTTTTCCTTGCAGAGCACCTCATGCGACAGACATTTTCGCCCTTTGGACAAATCATGGAAATAAGAGTTTTCCCAGAGAAAGGTTACTCTTTCATCAGGTACCATTTTGTTCTGAGCAAAGATTCTGATTTTGTTTATGTATAATAATAATAATAATAATATGCCATTTAGCAGACGCTTTTATCCAAAGCGACTTACAGTCATGCGTGCATACATTTTTGTGTATGGGTATAACACTAATGGGTATAACACATTGTATGGGTATAACACATAGTGTATGGGTATAACACATTTTTGTGTATGGGTATAACACTATGAATTGCCTCATTCTGCGTGTAGATGGCAGTACCGGTACATGGCTCAGTAATACATCTTCTAATACTACACCAAATGCCATAATTTATTAATAGTATGTACACTATTTATAAATGGTTTGTTTATTCATGATTTGTATTCTTGGAACTGTACTTATTACTTAACACTGTCAACCATTAAAAACCCGTCCCGTGTAGCTCAGTTGGGTAGAGCATGGCGTTTGCAACGCTAGTGTTGTGGGTTCGATTCCCAAGGGGGGCCAGTATAAAAAATAAATGGATGCACTCACTAAATGTAAGTTGCTCTGGATAAGAGCGTCTGCTAAAATGACAAAAATGTTTAAAATAAATAAATAAAATGCACATTTTTATTTTACATTGTGATATTATACTGCTGAATGACTTTTCTTGACCACTGTTTCTTGTCGACATTTGTGTTCTTCTGACAGGTTCTCCTCCCATGAAAGTGCTGCCCATGCAATTGTTTCTGTAAATGGAACGTCCATCGAATGTCACATAGTTAAGTGCTACTGGGGCAAAGAATCCCCCGACGTTGCCAAAAACATACCACAGGTAGGACACCAGTATCTTTCATTGAGATACTGCTCAATTACAATATAGACATTTCCCAGTGCACATTGTTTTTTTCTTTACTCACCCAGAAAAATGTATCCTGCTTTGTATTATGATTCATTTGATCTTTAAACAGATGGAGTATGGTCAGGGTCAGTGGGGACAATGGAACCAAATGTATGGGAGCCCCCAGGCCCAGCAGTATGGACAACAGTACATGGCAAATGGATGGCAAGTGCCCTCTTATGGAGTGTCTTATGGACAGTCTTGGAATCAGCAAGGATTTGGTGTAGAGTAAGTATAAACTAGTTACTTAGATCATGCACATTGTGAAATCCTCTTGAAAGGATAATTATTTCCTAAGTATCCAAACACGTTCAGTTGTATGCAGCACTTCTTCATTATGGAGTTCTGTTCTTGTCGTGTCCAGTTATGGTTGACTGACTGCCACTTTTTCAGACTATACTGTAGGCTTCCTGGTGTGATTGCACAAAAGAGTCAAACATTGCTGGTTACATTCATACATGTTTTAATCAAGACTGTTTGCTTTCCTCAACAGTATATATTTAAAATGTTAACACCATGGAAGTTATAAAGCTCATGTAACTTTTACTACTTTTCTGTCGGCAATATTCTCCTTAACCACAGTTTCTTGTTGACATCTGCAAGCATAGGCCTACATCCAGTGTCATAGCGAACCTGGTGAAATGGTTAGACTCCAGAGCCACACTAAACTATGAGATCTTGTTTACAGGGACTCCATTCTGGCTGCAGCAGCACAGAACATTTCAAGGTGACGAACGCACTCAGTGTTTTACAGCCCAAAGCTTTCACTTACCAGCCTCTGCATCATGCCGTGACCCTTGTTGTGGGTGTCTTCTCTCTTGCAGACAGTCCCAGTCCCCAGCCTGGGTGGGAGGGTTTGGATCCCCGGCACCGTCCCAGCCCCAGACCGGTCCTGTGATGCCCAACCAGGGAAACTTCAACATGGCTGGCTACCAGACACAGTGAGCAGGCTCTCACTCACATCAGTAACACAGTCATGTCGGAATTAGTGGACTTTCAATTAGGAGAACGTAAAGAAATGAGCATTGTAATCATCTGGAGAGATTGTGTGTTAAAGCAGAGAAGATCAGGATCAATAGCTTACCTCTCAGATATTAGGAAGCAAATGTATTTATAAAGACAAGTAGTGAGGGGAGGGGGTTGTTTTTATTGGCTGAGGTTATGTACAAATGAAATGTCAACAAGTGGTTTAAACAAAACTTGGACTGAATTTTCATGCTTTTATATAGGGGATATCTTTTTCTTTTTGTATGAGTTTTTGTTTACTACTTAATGTAGCCTAAAACAGACTTAAAAGGTAATTTGAATACCCTAGTTTGTCACAGGACATTGCATAGGTACATATAGAAAAAAGTTGTACATTCTGAACATAATGCTCTTTAAATGGTTAGTTTCTGCCCATCAACTCTGATCATGCGTTTACTGATTAAATCACTTTCTGAACTTTTGACAGATGTGAGTAAACACATTTTCAGTCTCCTGTTTTAAGAAGCACTTTTAGGGTTCAAATGTTTGCTGTAAATCTTCAAATACATATGGATTTGCGTGCCATTATGTATATTTACATTTTATTTGCTTCACTCTTCATCTCTTGACATTGTACTAGCCGAATGTCTTGATAATGCGTGTAAATCTGTATGCTAGTATTTGATTATACCTGTAAATGTCACTTATAAAGGAAAAGGGTCAGGAAGGCCAACCATTTATATAACCCTCGAAACCTGATTTTAAAATAAGGATTTCCAAGCATGTACTCTTTATTAACACAGGACCTCCACAAACCTAATTCTGTATATATTGTAGATGGGTGTGCAATGCAGGGCTGACATATTGAATATATTCAATATAATTTACAAAGAAGCCTTAATTTAAATGTCAGTTACTGCACCATTAATTATTTTACTCACTGAAGCCCTGTTAGAAACCTGAACTCTAGATTTTAGAACTGATGTTTTTACCATTTAAAGTTGTGTGCCATTTTCAGCTAATAGCAGGCGACGAGGAATGAACATTTCCTGGAGACATTGAGGGTGTATTGCACGTTTTTGAAAATGTATTATCTTGGTTGCTCAAAGTATTGAATGTAAATGGCAGAATTGTTTTAATGACGAATAAAGCTCAGCGATTGACAAAATTCCCTTTTCAATGTAAAAGGGTCTCAATAAAAATGACTATTGGAAGAAAATAAGCTGATCCCCCTCTTGTTTGTGTTTGCCTAAATGGGGAGTAAATATTGTAAAGCTAATGCTTTATAACAATTTTCATGAATAACACTACTCAAAATACTACATATTACTTGATACTAAAAACTGTACATACAATTAACACAGGAATAGTTAAAATGGCCTATGATCCTTAAAATAGCCAAATGCTACTTTAAAAGTCAAGGTCACCTGCCTCTAACAAAAACAATACAATTTCTAGTGAAAAGAAAGGGTTGGACACCTTTAAAATAAAACCTAATTATTAGTCACTAGTCCTAGGGTTTTGAAGACAAGGCAGTTTCCCAACCTAGTGTTCCCAACTCTGGTCCTCGAGTACCCCCAAGGCCCCAACAACAAATGTTTTGTTGTAGCCCCGGATAAAAATCACCTGATTCAATTTGTCAAGAGCTTGATGATTAGTTGACAAGTAGAATCAGTTGTGCTTGTCTGGTGCCACAACAAAAATGTAATGTTGGGGGTACTTGAGGACCGGAGTTGGGAAACAGACAGTGAATCCCAAACCACCCCCTCTCCCCTACCAACTCTCTTGGAGGGCCCTCTTGCTGAAGAAACTCAGAGGGTGACTTCCAGAGAGTGGCGATGGGAATCGATAAAGCCATCAACTTCGGGACACACTCCTGACTTGAATGATGCAATTCATGTTAATTGTTAAATAATAAAACAAGCTTCAAATTCAAATTAACAAATCCCCCCCCAGTCGTTTTACAAGATATAAACCTCAGTAACAGTTAAACATTTAATTTGGGAGGTGTTACATGTGGCAAGTCTTGAAATTAGACAAACAAATGCACGTGGAATATAATTAGGCACGCCTACCCATTCTTTTGTATGAAATTGCGCAAACTCCAAACATATCGCAGTGCGTCTCGGAATAGCACTTTACTCTGCTCTGAAGCCTTGGTCAAAGTGTCTGAGGGTCTAATTAGCCCCTACACTCTCGATAATTTACGGAATACCCCTCCGTAAAGAGGTCCTCCATCGGTGTCTGTGGACGAGAGGAGGTGAAAGAGAGGAAGTGTGTGCTTGCATGCGCGTGCGTCGGTGTCGTGACTGCATGTCCACTACTGATGCAATCAATGTTACAAGTAACTACAATCTGGAAATTGCACTAATATCATAACCATAAAAATTGGTCTGTCAAACATTATCAAAAATAATAACATACATTTAAATTGAATACATTTGAACAAACCTTACTGTGTATCCCTCAAGTGTGAGTGACTGATTGTTCTCTTTGTGTGAGTGGAGAGTAACTTACCCAAACTGATATAGCTCACACGCATGATCTGTGAAATTACAGGCTGTACATACTCTCCCATTTTTGCATACAGTAATGGACGTGAAAAGAAAACAATCATCAAAGTAGTACACTTATGGAAAGGGAATCTTTTATATTTGCACTCCACGAGATTATAGAAAGATTTTAATGTTTTTTTTTGCTTCATAACTAAAGTTCAGTGAGGTTTGGGTACAACTAAAAAAGGAGTACACTGAGTATACCAAACATTAGGAAAAGGAGATATCGGGGTGCCTGGTAAGGAGCCGGCGACAAGTGGCTAATCTGCCTTTGCCATCGATACTACTGGCCAATTTACAATCGCTTGTTAATAAAGTGGAGGAACTACAAGCATGTATATCCTACTAACGGGACATTAAAAACTGTAATATCTTATGTTTCACCGAGCCGTGGCTGAACGAAGACATTAATAACATACAGCTGGCGGGTTATACACTGTATCGGCAGGATAGAACAGCAGCCTCTGGGGTGGCGGTCTATGTATATTTGTAAACAACAGTCTTGAGGTTTTGCTCGCCTGAGGTAGAGTATCTCATGATAAACTGTAGACCACACTATCTACCAAGAGAGTTTTCATCTATATTCTTCGTAGCTGTATATTTACCACCACAAACCGATGCTGGCACTAAGACCGCACTCAATGAGCTGTATAAAGCCATAAGCAAACAGGAAAATGCTCATCCAGAGGCGGAGCTCCTATTGGCCGGGGACTTTAATGCAGGGAAACTTACATCCGTTCTACCTAATTTCTACCAGCATGTTAAATGTGCAACCAGAGGGGGAAAAAACACTAGACCACCTTTACTCCACACACAGAGATGCGTACAAAGCTCTACCTCGCCCTCCATTTGGCAAATCTGACCATAATTCTATCCTCCTGATTCCTGCTTATAAGCAAAAACTAAAGCAGGAAGCACCAGTAACTCGGTCAATAAAAAAGTGGTCAGATGAAGCAGATGCTAAGCTACAAGACTGTTTTGCTAGCACAGACTGGAATATGTTCCGGGATTCTTCCGATGGCATTGAGGAGTACACTACATCAGTCACTGGCTTCATCAATAACTGCATCGATGACGTTGTCCCCACAGTGACTGTACGTACCCCAACCAGAAGCCATAGATTACAGGCAACATCCGCTCTGAGCTAAAGGGTAGAGCTGCCGCTTTCAAGGAGCGGGACTCTAACCCAGAAGCTTATAAGAAATCGAGCCCTTACTATCTGACTATTTAGAAACATAGAGAGACACTTTATTGAGTAAAGATTTGATGTATAATTAACAACAGATAAAATGCAATAGCTTTAAATTTAGGCTAGCCTATATATTTACAGGAAATCTCATATTTGAAGGATATTCTCGATTTAAACAAAGATATATTTGGCAAAAGATAAATAAATAGTCTTAGTTGCATGTTCCAAGGGACGCTTGTCAATATTCAAAGATGAACGCACTAAAACTCAGCTTAGAAGTACCTGTATATTTAAGCAATAAGGCCCGAGGGGGTTTGGTATATTGCGTCATACCCATGGTATATTGTCTGATATACACACGGCTGAAATGCTGTTTCACCCAATCAGCATCCAGGACCCAAACTACACGGTTTATAATATGGACTTGTACACATTCATTAAATCAGGTGCAAGGTGGTGGCAGTACTAATACTGTATAGAATATTGCACATATACAGTGAACTCCAAAGCATTGGGACAGTGACACATTTTTTTTTTGTTTTAGCTCTGTACTCTGACTATGCGATTAAAGTGCAGACTGTCAGCTTTAATGTGAGGATTATTTTCATCTATATCGGGTGAACCGTTTAGAAATTACAGCACTATTTGTCCATAATCCCACCATTTTAGGGGACCAAAAGTATTGGGACAAATTCACTTATATGTGTATTAAAAGGTTAAGTAATTGGTCCCATAATCATAGCACGCATTGACTACATCAAGCATGTGAATCTACAAATTTGTTGGATGCATTTGCTGTTTGTTTTGGTTGTGTTTCAGATAATTTTATGCCCAATAGAAATTAATGGTAAATACTGTATTGTGTCATTTTGGAGTCACTTCTGTTGTAAATTTACATTTTAGTCATTTAGCAGTTATTTAAATAAGAATAGAATATGTTTCTAAACACTTCTACATTAATGTGGATGCTACCATGTTTATGGATAATCCTAAACGAATTATGAATAATGAGGAGTGAGAAAGTTATACGCACAAATATCATACCCCCATCCAAAAAATACTAACCCCCCATTTTTTTTTTTTTTTTACAGGTAAGTTAACAGAACACATTCTCATTTACAGCAACGACCTGGGGAATAGTTACATGGGAGATGAATGAGGCAATTGGAAGCTGGGGATGATTAGGTGGACATGATAGGCCAGATTGGGAATTTAGCTAGGACACCGGGGTTAACACCCCTACTCTTAAGATAAGTGCAATGGGATCTTTAGTGACCACAGAGTCAGGACCCCTGTGTAGGGTGCCATGTCCCCAATCACTGCCCTGGGGGAAAGAGTGCCTCCTACTTGCCCTCCAACACC